TTTAGTGTTGGCACTGGTCTCCGTCAAGGCTGCGTTCTGTCTCCTTTCTTGTTTTTGTTGTACATGGATATAGTCAGGAGGCTATGGCGATGAATTATTTGCGTAGGAGATGTCAGGAAGAGACGGCTGCTGTTAGGAAACGACCTTGTTTTGTAGGCGTCTTTTATAACTTATCTACAGGGCTGTGGAAAAGTTCGCAGCCGGGTGCAGTGTAGTTAGCATGTGTGAACATGTCTACGAATAAAATCGTAGTGCTTTCCCGTTCTCCTGCCATCGACGGTTCACTGATAAACGGAGAAGCGGTGAATAAGGTGGAGAAATAATATACATCTGGGAACGTTTAGTGGCAATGGAAAAAGGAAGAAAACGTGACAAAATGGAATGGGAAGCGGAGTTCTGCGCGAACTACCTTGAACCGTTGTTACTAATATAGAGCTGAGTCTAAAGACTAAGGTTTCTGTGTTGAAGTCGATCATTATTCCAATGCTTACCGACAGCCATCAGTCTAAGGCAATGACTGAAAGACACCGATCTCAAGGACTGCTATGGCTTGGGCACGTATTGTGAATGCCTCCAGAAAGGAAGACTATGCAATTACTACCTAGCTGAGAGGCGAAAAACCAAGGGAATAGCCAGGAGCAACCTGGTGCAAATGTATCGAAGGAGTCTCCTCTAGACTTCGGTTGTCCATTGCCATTAAAAGATTGGGAACATTTGAAGTACTGTCTGACGCCTCTGCCTCTATGACCCAAAGGGATGACTGGCAATGAAAACTGAACCGAACTGAAAGAAAAGTAAATGCCACCAAACTTTTCAGGTCTACAAACAAGAACCGGTTTTGATAATCGATTATCCACAAGATCTCATATTGTAGCACATTAAAGAAATCGACACTGATGGTTCGTCCGCTTAATATTACGGATCGGAATCACTGAAACAGTTTCGCAGAGCAGCTGGTCCGGCAACGGGAACAAAATAACACGATTTCAAAATGAATGATCTGGTCAACGTTGCTGCCACAGAAAATAATGAGTCGTTTCTCTGTGATCTTAAGCAACATAATCTCACTGCACCTTGTTTCTAAATGCCTAGGGAATCTTTCAACAGGCTACGGCTATACCTGCTTGGATTGAGTCTGAAAAGAATCGTTTCAAAGTCTGGGGTATTTCCAGATTAAAGTGAGAATCTTTTCCGTAAATAAGACGTGATGTCTCAGATTCTGAGCTCTTGTTAGAATTACGGCTGTACTGTTGATCAATGGTCAAGGACATCAAATTTTAGCACCGTCAACAGTGGATCAATAAATTAGCTAAGAATGAAACATTTTCGCTTGAAACAAAAAACAACACGGTTTTCAATCCACGTACCACTGGTGGCCAAATGTCGTGGAGCAGTGCATGCTTAAAGCATTGCCTATACTTTAACAAGTAACAGAGCAGTGCCGTCCGGAAAAATGATGAGTACCGCTAACAGTGTCATGCACAGCACCTTTTTCGACTTAAACAGATACTTGACGCTAGTTGGCAAGATGGTAGATTGCTGAGCAATCAGATATGAATAAATATGAATAAAAGTAATAAACTTGAAAGAGAAATTATATGAGAACATTAGGTTATATTAGAGTAGATGGAGGAGTTCGGGAAGTAGTTCAAGATTGTGACTGAAATCGAAAGCACCTGAATGTCTGCTCAATTTTGTTTAACAGCATGAGGAATGTGATGAAGAAGCGTATAAGTGTAGGTAAAAGGAATTTAGCTGTGTTGAAAGGAAAACCGATGATTTACAACCTTTCTGACATCGCATCCTAAAAGATTACAAAAATAGCCACAGTATGGCGTCTTGGAGTAGTCATGTTAGACCATGCATGATTTATGGTTATGCCGTGCGATGCATGGGCATTAAGGCTGCAGTTCGAATTGACAAACTTGAGAGCGGACTAAAGATCAACATGAAGTTTAAATTTGAGGTGAGAGTCAAAGGAATCAGAAGACAAAATAGAATTAGTAATGAGTCGATGAAAAAAGGCTACAGTGGAAAGGGATATGTGTGTGAGAAGAATGACGCAAAACAGACCACAAGCAACAACCCCATCAATGAGTATCAAAGAATACAGACTAGGAGAACAGCAAGTAAAGTATGAACTGACTACGGGAGAAGCGAGAGAACGTCTGTAAGAAACATCAACAAATTGTTTACGGAAGACAACGGCATATGCGATTGTAATGCACTTATCTATAGCATCCCTGAGGCTAAATGAATTGGAAAGCAACCAAGTGTACCTGACGTTACAATCTGAAAAGCGAAAGTAACTCAACATTTGAAGGTGGTCTGATTAGAAGTCGAATCAAAAATGCCAGAGGAATCGAACAATATGGCGCTTGCCTTAGTTGTCAACTTTGTTTTATTTCACAATTCGAATGACACTTCGACCCATGAACTTTGGGCGGCGCTAAGTCAGGTGAAACGCTGAGATGCGATCGCTCTTCAAAATCGCGAAATGAAAACGACTTGCAACAAATCTGACACCAAGGACTGATGAACGTAAAAACTTGCTGTTAACCTCTGTCACGTTTTAACCAAATGAATATCTCGTCAGTGATTCTATTTCCATTACAGATATTTTTGCGTTGGTAAGATATCACGCCATTTTTGACACAAAATTGACCTTACTAAGTACGTGGCAGCGGAGAGCAGTCACTACAGAAATGAACCACTAAGAAACAGCCGTCATCGCGAATGACGAAAGCACTTAAAGGACATCTGGTAATTCGCACAGCCTCGTTCGTTTTTGCACTCGCCATCAATCACGTCATAATTCTACAAATTTATAACACTACTGCTTAGATGTCTAGAAACTTCTCATTTCATCGTTGCATGTAGACAGGCGAGCGCATTTTGATGCTCCTGCAGACTTGTCTGTTCTGCTCTCTACCTTTATCACTTGCCAAGCTATAAGCTATATTTGACGATTAGTCGATTCGGTATGTTTTTGGTCGACCGAACGGACAGGCGTACGAACGTGCGAGATTAAACCATTTCTAATTATTACCGATTTGTAGATTTTTGGCTCTCCTTGGTTTCCGTCTATATGCATGGAAAGCAAGGCCCCTGTACCACGCGCCTCGGATGCTCGGTACTGCTGAACTTCGCTAGATTTTCACCAAAAATGAAGAATGCAATATTGTTCTGACCACCAAATATAATATTACGAGATGATATGCATTCGATGTTCATGACTATTGTGAAAACGAAGAAAAAATCTTGCAACCCAATTTTTCGGAACAAGCTGCAGCAATACCAGAAGCAGTATGTCAATTGGCTGTAAAACATTCACCTGCTAAATGTTGATGGCAGAAGGTGTACCAGAATCAATCACGATCAATGCACAAAATGAACTGGAGCATGAGGCAGAGCCAAGAAAACGAACGCATCAAAGTAGATGGTGAGGCATAAACCTGCTGTGTGCAGATGACCGCGTTCATACCAATCCCCTGGTATTGATGGCCAGAGTGGAAACGGAAGGCGCAAGAACGGAATGTGGCGTGACTTGTACGAGAACAAAACAATTGCAACAACGAATCATTGTGCTTTCTCGATCACTTGTGCAAGGTGTTTCACAGGATACTGAAGCACACCAGAAACAGATGAAGTTGAATTACATCGGTATCATATTTACGAAAGATCGAAAGAGTGAAGAATACATTCACCAGCTAACAGGACTGACTATCTATGAGTTATCCTGAATGTTGTCATCCTGAAAACGCAAGATGTATGACACGAAGCTGTCTGTGTTCAAGTTGAATTTCGATCCTGTGCTCACTATGACAGTGAATGATGGGTAACAACCGAAATAAAATAACTGTGATTGCGGACACGGAGTTCGAAATTGTCTTCCTGAGGAAAGTTCCAGAAACTACCCGTATGAATACAATTCGTAGGTCAAGAATACGGAACGCCATCAGAATCGTGATGCAGCTTTTCACGATTCAATGGGAGCTATCATGAAATTTTATAGGCATGTCTTCGGATTGTCACCAGACAGAACGACCTAGTAGCTATCCTTGTTCGACCGAGAGGAGGCAGATATCTAAAGGAAGGCCCAGAATGATATGAAGCAACTGTTCCAGAGAATTCTGTTCCAGACTAGGGATATCTCCTGTCGACGCTAAGGGACTGTCGCAAGATGATAAAATTGTCTGACGCTGATACCCGCCTACGACCCGAACAGACAAATGCCGTTCGAAACTGATTGGCAGATATGACACTACCTCATATCCTAAAACAAAATCACTTGTGCGGAAAAGTTTGGATATCGACTTGTTTATAAATGTTTGATGATCAACGTACTGTCCCGCATGCAACGGAATTATTACAGAAACATTTACCCTTTTCAAGGAACCAAGTTTACTGAGAAGAAATTGTATACAACTAAACAGTTCGCTACCTGTACATATACATACATAGAAAGCCCTGCCCTTCAGACCTCTAGTTCGTGGAGGCATGATTGGACACATCTGTCTTCTTCGTGGAGGATACTGTTTAAAGGGTACTTTCTTGCCACAGGCCTGTTTCATAAAACACTTGTCATTTCTTAAAAACTGTCCTAACTTCCGACCATGTTCACTCACAAACAAAACGGATCGATTCTGGAAGTATTGAACTACCTGGCGAACATACGGTCAAAGGAATCCGAGCTTCAGTAGTAGACCAAACGTAAAAATAACATTGACGATCATATAACAGCGTGGGTCCGTGTCCAGAGCTTAAACTTGTCAGAACAAAAATCACTGATGATACACTTCATAGGGATTCGAACAGACAAACATACAAGCAAACAAAAAAACTCAGCTATAAACATTCTATTCAACAATTAAAACAGGCTACATCTTACAATTAGACGTCTTCATCTCCCTCACATTTATGACTTTTCATGGCTGCTTCCTGAAATAACAATAGTTAGCTAAAAATATGAATGTTAACCAAAAGCATAACCAGATATTCTAATCAGTGATGGCCAAATCCACTGCTATCGGTCGACCCTCGACAAGAATCCCGTTCATCGCCATAGCTGCCTTTTCAGCGTCCATGGCGGTCTTGAAACGGACTTTACCTACACCTGGCTGAACGATGTCCGCAAATTCTATGTCTCCAAAGCCTCTTAAACGATCGCGTAAGGTTTGCCATGTGTAACTAGTGGGCAGATTGCGAATGACGATATACCGGGCACTGCGGGTGCCATATTTCATGGGCGAAATATTCTGATCATATTGTCGACGATCAAAATCTGTGACATTATTCATCAATGACGGTATGCTCTGGTAGTTTCCATTCATACTCATGTTCATACCAGAACTGTAGCCAACACCTCCAGGATAAGGACCTGAAATCGGAGTTCCAGAGAGCGATGCCTCCATAGCACGGGAAGGATCATTGCCATACTGCGGAATAGGATTATTCATGTTTGCGGAGTATCCACTAAGCTGACCTTGAGGATAACTGCTCATCAAATTTGGCTGAGGTAAAGGATAATTCGTTGGCATATTGCTTCCTCCACCACCCATATAACTTAAACCACCAACTGGCTGGTCATTCCTTACATTACTTCCAGGAAGAGAATCTCCATGAAAAGGGCTGCCGCCAGAAGCTCCGGTGCCAGAGCCTAACAGCTGCGCGATCTTGCTCAAAGGGGCCCCATTTCTGCCTAGACCCATTCCAATACTTCTAAGACCAGGAGGCAGTTCACCTGGCCTAAGGGGTTCTTCATCTTTCTCAAAACGATCCATTTTTACGGTAAGAATTCGATCGTAATATTTCTGATTGTGAAACATCGAAACGGCCTGCACCGCCTCAATGGGATGAGAATATTCAATGACAGCCAAGCCTTTGTTTCTCCCGTCATTGTCGAACTGCAGATCGACGTCCACCACTTGGCCAGACAAACTGAACACTTCCTTCAGTTTCGATGGGCCAACGTTAAATGGTAAATTTGCGACGAATATGCGGTTGCCCAGGGGACCTTCGATTCCAAGTTGCCTTAGGAACTGGACGCTGAGCCCATAGGTCGGAAATGACCTTGGTCCTGTATCAATACCAATTGGAGTGACGTCTATGTCGAGCAAACTTTTTGGACCGCTTTTGTTGGAAAGCAAATCGATACCAGTTTCGTCATTCACTTTTTTAAAGAACCTTTCCGGGTCCCTGATTTCTTTAACAACGATAAAGCGATCTTTCACCTGCATGCGATGCATCTGCTCTACGCACTTTTTTACGCTCTCAGAGTCTTTGAACTCAACAACTGCGGATCCCTTTGATTTTCCACCGGCCGTTTCGATCATTTCCACGAAAGCAACGTCGCCCGCCTTCTCTCGTACCATGTCCTTCAGTTCCATCCAAGTGATGTCATACGGAATGTTGCTGATGTACACCAGTTTATCAGAGTTTGCATTCTTCCTGTCACTGGGTGCCATTCTGCGACGAAGAGGACTTCGTGACCTAGCCTTCAGACCCTCCATCTTTTTCTCTCTGTCGTCCGACATTTCACTGCTCTTTCACGATTAAACCAAAATCGCCTACAAAACAAAGTTTTAGAAACGCGACTTAACGAAAACAATTAATTTCCGAACGGCCATTTCAAATCTAGTAGAAAAATATTTTGGAAAAGATGCTACTAACAACGGATAGTTTAACTATTTTGCACAACAACCTATTTCCAATGCAACCCTACAAAAAGCTTCAAATGTATAACATCATATGAAAATTACAAGAAAAATGTTTTACAAAAAAATTTAACTTCATTCTGAGATAAAAAAACTGCTTTCTTAAGCAAAACGTTACATAAGTATTTGTGAATATCTTCGGAAATTCTTTCATCGTAAGTGTTCATATTACGATTTTTTATGGTTGTTCGCCACATTAATTTTAATGACAAAAAACGACAATATTTCTACCGACCTAACTTCAGCATTCAAGGTCAAACAGTGATAACAACATTATGGAAAGGAAGATTCAATATGTCTTCTCCCCTTAACCTTATGATGACCTACCCTGTCCGAGGTGTATACAATCTGCCCTGCTGAAGAAATGCTGATTATGACATCCCCTCTAATGAACGATGACAGATGTTCCTTAAATTTTTAAATTGTGCACTTTATTATCTCCAGTCATGTGTACTTCAACTTCTGAAAGGACAGTTTTCTAGAGGACCCAACTGCCTCATTCAGGTGGAATGTACTGGATTTCGTAACAGAAGATATCATCTAGTGTCTGTCATTTCATGTAAATTACGAACCATATCAGATATAATGGCGAAACAGAAGGTCAATAAAGCAATAAGACTCTTAATATTTAATAGAGTATTTACGACAAATCCACAAATTCGCTTGAGAAATCTTCAGAACCAAGGGAAGGTGAAAAATGACCTGGTGCAAGTGCCTCCAAGGACTCTGCTCTAGACGGTTTATTTTCTGATGACACCGTCTAACGGTTCTACCTCCGCAGCCTCAAACGATAATCGATTTGTTGTAGCTCAACGGGATTGTACGTATAACTCATGACATAACGCTGCTTATCGAGCTAATCTTATAATATAACAGTTCGAAAACACGCAAATCATGGGACTTTAAGTCAATCCACAGCAATGCTTCCGATGAGGCAAAAGAGGATTATCCTCAGCATTTATCATTCAGTCATTTCCATTACTAGCATCTGTTTACGGGTCTGAAAATTTCTTCGCATCATTTTTTTCATCAGCAATTAACTAATGCTGGAGATGCTATTATTCAGGTTTGTTAATGTTCGTTCGATTCTTCCTTCCTTCGTCCTACGATTGTTTGAAGCTTAGCTCAGTTCCGATCACAGATTGAATTGGTTGACACGAGCAAAACCATCTTTGCATCTCTGATTTAGAAGTAGAATGGATAGATACACTCGATTAAAAGTTTTTTCTTCATATGACATTGAATTTTCGTCGTTTCATAAATGGGGAGTGGTCGGTTTTGAGTACACGCAACTCCGTTACAAATCTGTCCAACTATTTCGTTTTAATGATTAAGTGTATGATCCATTATCAGACTGGAAAGACCAAAATTATAAGCAGACCAACTTCGTGCAGTCACGTGTAAAGATGGTGTCGAGTCGTACCATGCAATGCACAAGTTCTTTTCAAGGTAAAGCATATCTGATGGCAGGTGAGAAGTGGAAAGCACCAGAAAGATATAAATTATTTAAAAATTTTTAATTGAGGGTAGCTTCTGCCTTTAGCTTGCACAGCGACGAATACTAGTTGCTCAACACTAGCAATGTGACAAGTCTCAGAATTTCCATTCATGCATATCACAAGCAGTTGTCGTCTTATTCTTATGCAACTAATAAAGAACCGTTCACTCTGAATCATATGGAAGACTTACTAATAAACAGGACATAATGTTTCTGATTTTGGCTCACTGTTGATTTACTACGCTAGGGAAAATGAAGTTGCAATCGCGGAATGAAGAGTATTATTATCGAATTTCTGTCATTAAGCTCAACGTGTAGTTTTAACATCCGTTTCAATTTTATCAGTGAAGAACACCTCATTTTAATACTTAACCTATTTTCAGAAACTGATCATTATGATCATTATAAAAAATGATTATTATTAAGAAATGACTATTACACGAAGTGGCAGAGATTTAGCAAACGTGGAACCATGAAACGCGAGAGCCCGGCAGGAACTTAAAACCGCGATCAATCGATCACAAATCCAATGCTCGAAT